AAGAAAACATTGATCTCTCACTGATTATTAGTACCCTGGAACATAGTAGCATTGTCATTTTGCATGAAATTCAGGAGAGAGTAGAAAAGTTAATCACACATTATGTTCATGGGTCTTCATAGGTGAAGCTCTTTACATCCTAAATCTGGGGTAGCTATGTCTATTAGTAGTATACATCTAGCACACTTGCTCTCAGCCCTCCTCAATTGGGATTCTGAAGGAGAATTAAACTCTAAAGCCCAAGGTAGATTTAGTTTTTATGAAATGAATGAAGTTCTCTTTTATGCATTTGGAATAGTGTTATGTATCATCCTTGGAACAACTGAACACAGTCATGCATACAATTTTCTTTAGGGATTAATTTTTTTTGCAGAACCTCAATTGAGAAAAGGCGATCATACATATTTTATACTCTCCAGAATAGGGATTAATTCTTTTGTGGAACCTCAGTTGAGAAAGGCTATTATATATACTTTATACTCTCCAGAATATATATATGTGTGTGTGTGTATAAAAGTTAAATAATGCAAGTGATATCTCACCAAATATTTATGTATATGTATATTTTTATATACATAATATATATATATTTTCTCTTTTTCTGGTTTTCAGTTGCAGCTTTGATATTATGGAATTCATTAATTTACTCAATAACCATTAACTGCTACATGCCAGGATCTATGCTAAGCTCTAAAAATATAATGCTAAGCAAAAATGGACATGGCCTCTGCTCTCATGGAGATTATGATCTGATGGGAGAGAGAATCAGTTATCAAATAATCACCTTACCTTAGTGAATATATAACTAAAACCTGAGGAAGTGCTATAAAGGAAAAGAGTGGACTTCCCTGAGAGCTGTTCAAAGGAATATAACCTCTACTGGAATTGTTGGCCAAAATTGGTGACAAGGACATAGAGGCCAGTGGACTGAAAAACATAGGCCTTTGGACACATTGCTGGCAAAAGCCAGTTTTCATTTATTTTCTTCTAGTGGCTTATAGTCATTGTTGAATTTTACCAACCATTGAGAGAATTAGGTCCAATCCACATCACACTGCTTATACTGGATTAACTTAAAATATATTTGTGAAATAATATTAATTGTGTCTTTTGTCTCATATACACTAATTCACTCAGTGTGAGTTCAAATGTATACAGGATTTTTGCTGAAAGGGAAAATACTCTTTTTCTCTTTGAATTCCCAATAATGCTTAGCAAAGTGTTTGAACAAGAACCTCACAGTTGTTTATTATAATTAATATTTTATAATATTTAATTTTAACTCTCAGCAATTCTTTAACTTAGATATGGATTTATATTGTTTCTTCATTGATTTAAAAGTGAAGACAGTATGTAAAGATTTTGATTTAGAATGATTGACTACATATTTGGAAAAAGAAGGCAGATTATTTTTACTCTAAGAATTTTAAATCTGCAGCTTAATTAGATTTTCAGTGCAGATCTCAGTTTGAAACTGATTCATAAATTAGTGTAGAGAATGCACAGAGCATTTAGAATCACAAGACATGAGTTCAAGGCTTGGGGCTGCTCTTTATTTACCTATAAATAAGACAACCAGATCAGAGATCTCTAAGGTCTTTTCCAACTCTAAAGTCTTCTGTATGTCCATGGTGCAATGAATAATGCATTTTTATGGATTTGATCTGGACCAAAAACCAGTAACTTATTTTCAATATTCCTGATTTTGCCATTAATCAGGAATAAATAATTTAACATGCACAGTCCTTATAGAGAATACAAATTCTAAGTGAATATCCTGTGAGATTTGCTTTTTAGTCATGATGATCCATGGCAAATTAAAAAAAAAATCATCAAACAATACTCCTTTTAGATATCATTCTAGTATAATTTGATATGTGTATAGAAAAAGTAAATGAATTTAAAATCAGTATAAATAAAAAATAACTAATAAGGTAACATTTTATCCACATTTCCTCAACCATATTCCATAGTCAGTCAACATTTTTTCAATAAATGAATAAATAAATTAAGACAATAATAAACATTCTAAAACTTTCCTGGTAATGATTTGGTATTATAACTAAGAATCACATAAAGCAATTTTCCTAGGGGTAGTCATAATTACCAAGTACCAAAAAGTTAATAATGGACACTAGTTGATTAATTTTTAATTTTATAAAAACATTAATTTTTATTCCTTAGTTCAACTGCCACTGATTTTTTTATCCCACCTGAGGCTTGTAAAATCTTTTTAAATGGGCTATTGTCCTGCTTTGAATCCATACATAAAAAGCATATAGGTATACTCCCTAAGATTTAGTTGGCTGTGCAGTGAATATCTAAATTTATAATTATCAGAATAACCATGATGGCTGGGAAAATATTCTGTTTTAAAGCATGTATATAGAAGAAAATTATGTTGGTTACTATTTATTAAGTGCTCACTCTATGCAGGCACTACACTAAGGGTTTTAGATGTATGTGCTCATTTTGTTTTCAGAATAAACACAATGAAGTATATGAACAATAATCTCCTTTGTAAAGATAAAGAAATTAGGCCTTATGGGATAAAATCATTTGTTTTGTTGGAAGTTTAAGGGTGGGGATATGGAGTTAGTCTTATTGTACTGGAGCTTTGGGAGGACATTTTTTTTTAGAAATGCCTCCAGTTCTTTCCCCTTAATGCATAGTATGGCCTCAGTAGGGACAGAGCAATTAGTAAAAGTAATATCAGATCTATCTGTTTATCTATCTATCTATCATCTGTCATCTATCTATAGGGAGAGATGACTTTCAAATCTTCAATCCACATGACATATACTTTGAGCACATTTTTTTTCTCCAGATAAAAACCAACAATACTTATCTGTACCAGTCTTGGTTTTTTTTTTAAAGTGCATTAGGTCTTTAAAATATAACAACTCCATGAAGTATTTTTATTATTATCATCGTTCTCATGATGAGATGGTTAGACTGAAGCACAGAAATGTTAAGTAACTTTTTTTTATCCTCATCCAATTACAGTTTTTCATTCCTTTTAGAGAGGAAAGGAGGGAGGGGGAGAGAGAGTGAGAAACAATGATGCAAGAGAGAGACATTGATTGGTTGCCTTCTTGTAGGTGTCCCAACTGGGGATGGAACTGACAGCCTGGGTATGTGCCCTGACCAGGAATCGAACCCATGACTCTCAGTCTGTGGGATGACATTCCAACCAACTGAGCCACAGCAGCCACGGTTTAAGTAAATTTTCCAAAGTCACACAGCTAACATGTGGAGGACCTGGGATTTAATTCTCATAGCAGGACTCACGACCTTAACCTCTGTTCTATATCCCTTCTATTTGGCATAATGATATAAGAACACTGGTGCTGTATTTAGGCATTTATTGTAACTAATATCACTGGCTAGTGTAGGAAGTTTTGATTTTTCCTTATGTTAAGCAGATTGTATGAAAATGAAACCCACAACCTTGACATCCTCAGAAGCAGGCTCTAAGTAACTGACCTAACTAGGCAACATAACAAGGTCAAGCTAAGATGCTGTGACAGCAACCTTGACTACCTAAATAAGCTTTTCATAAATCTCTAAGCCAGAGACCCATTTATGTGGTGACCAATGAAGATTCACATTCCCTTTCAGTAAGAGCTGTCTTGCTGTCCAGAATGTGAGCTTTGTGTCAACTTTTTTCTACAATGAAAAAACTACAATGTTTTGGAGGACTGGCCCATTTGGCTGCTGGGTTTGATCCTGCACCTGTGAACCCCTAGTCAGTTTCAGGAGACACCTACCTTCTAATGAGATATGAGAAAGGAAAGAGGGAGTTTCTAAGCATCAGGTACAGGCTAAAACAATATCAAAGCACCAACCACATTTAAGTGTATTACACTTTACATCTCTACAGTAACTGCTCTGCATAAAATTGTTGGATGGCATTATAATAGATAATACTGAGAAAAATCATAAATCTGGGAAAGACACCAGAAAGTCAGTTTTCCTGGTATCCTACGTAATGTTTTTAAGCTTGGAGGAATACCAGGGATAAATGCTGTTTCTTAACTGTGAGTTCATGGTTTTAGCAAACGGGTTTCCCAAAATATATCTTTGCTGGCAACTTCTCTATAAATTGGAGAGCTGTTTTATTTCTCCATATTCTTTTGAGGCCATTATACATAGAGTAAGCTGTGTGAGGTTCTCAGAGAAAATATCAAATAATGTGTGTAGAGTCATAGTTCAGCAACGTGATGGCTTCTTATCCTGAAAAACCATGCTCAAGTTTTGCTTTTTGAGACTTCTGATGTTCCATGTAAATGAATCCGTGGCTTAGATTAGCTCCCCTTTCCCCTACCACAAACATTTAGTCCTTTTAGTTTTTCCTGTAGCGGTAAGGAGACTTTTCTGCCCTTGGTCAAATTTATTGTACCAGAGAACTGACAACCTAGCTCAGCTGTGTCAAGTGTTGGCTGTATTTTTATCAAGATTAGAGAGACATTCATTTCCTGTAAATGATGGAACATTTGTCTCTACCTTTTAGAAGTTGGTTTTTACAATAGTGTTAGATGACTAAGAATGAGAATTAGATTGTACATACGAGTGAGAGAGAGGCAAAGTCCATTGGAGGCCTATTAAGAAGTAAGTTTGATGTTAAAAAGATCCAGACTCAGTTGTGGAGTACAGGTGTCTAGATTCCTGAGATATCCAAAAGAGTAGAGGGAGAAGTCATAACCCAGAGAACAAGCCATTATAGCTTAAGATTTAAAGGCTGCCTTTGTATGGCAAAGAAATGTTACTTGGGACCCTGATTACTTTTTAAAAAACTATCATCAAATTAGGTTTAATTCCAATAATACAAAGGTGATATTATATCATGAAATTGATTAAAATGAACCTTGGACACTTGAACAGTGTTCTTACTGTATATGAAGTATTTTTAAAGAGAGGTGCTGTTTTCAATTGCATAAAAATATCACATTCAAATTAAAAGTTGAAAATCACTCTATACCATACAGAAAAATGTTTACCTGAAAGTTTAAACGAAGATGAATCTATATGTAAAGACCCAGTTTCACCATTTAACTTCTGATGTAAAATGGTGTCTATCCTATCCCAAAATTTCGCTGCTTTATATTTAAAGCAGGGCATAAACTTCAGCACAGCATGTATTACCACTCTCCCTTTGGATCGGCTGCAGAATAGAAACAGACAAATAAATTAGGCTTTTTTTACTGAGCCTCTATCATTTTTAATAGAGTCATTCTATACTTTGGTAAGCAGAGCTCCTAGTAGCTATTTGTTTCTCCCAAGGGCATCAGAATGGCACTTTCTGGACATGGCAATGGTAAAAAGATTGTGATTTAGACTCGGGGGAAATGAGTTTGTCTTCTAGATTTACTGTTTGCCACCTCCTTGACTACAGCAAGCTGTGGCATTCTCTGTACTTAAATTTCCTTATCTCTATAATGGGAATGGGAATGTTATTTACTAGTTTATTATAAGCACCATATAAGATAATGTATATGGAGGTATTTTGAAAATTTTAGAGTATTGTGCAGGAGTTATTCATTAATATGGATGTATCTATGCATGATAAATCCAGTATAGACTCTGTATAAAGTGCCAGTAGCAAATAACAAAGTGAAATATAATAGGTAAGATAAAATAATCATTTATTATCATTTTTTTAACGAAGGCAAAATTTTCAAGAGTGGGCCAATTCCTTTTTACTTGTTGGAAATCACAGCTGAACAAAAACATTAGATTAGATTTATTAAATTTGTAATTCTGACTTAAAGATGAAAATATATAAAATAAGCAAAGTGAAAATAAATAAACAAAACAAAAATTTTCAAAGGAGTAAGTGCCATTGACTCAATGGAATGTCTCTTCTGCTCTATTCTCTGTTTCTACACCTCCTCACCTCTGTGTGTTTGAAAACCCACAACTACCCCAAAGCTTTATGAGACTAGAGAAAGCTTCTAAAAACATACACTTGCAAACCTTTACAACACTCACAAACAAAAACAGAAACCATGGCCAAGATACAAGTTTATAAATGATTATAAAGCCTTATTATTTTAATATTTTTTCCAGGATAATTCTAAATGAAAAGATTAGCTAATTTTTATGTCACTCCTTACTGCTTATATTTTAGGGTATGTGTAAAAATGCTCTTCCTTTGAGTGCTATGTGTGAATTATTTTTATTTCCTTTATATAATATTAAGCATTTAGTTATCTTCTACAAATTTATTAAGCATTCTCACCTCTAATGATTTTATGAAGGTACAATGCTAATTTTCTTTTGTCTGACCTGTAGGGACAAACTCTTTACTTTTTGTGCAACAGACAAAGACATATATCATTTTGTTTAAACATTTTTTTTAAACCACGGATTTCACTTTGACTTTTTATCCTATGTCAAATAACTATAAAACTAAACTAAATATAGACATATGGATTCTTAATTTGGCATTATTAGGGTAATATGATCCTCTTTTTTACTGAAAATGTGAATTAAAAGTTAATTTTATCTTCTCTTGACTCATAAAATACTTTTTAGTTTTATATGATGAATGCTTATTTTCCTTTATATTCCTGAACTTTCAATTCATAGTTCTAGGTACTGGAGCTGTATCAGCTCATATAAGACCACAAGGTCCTTGCTATCATTCTAGTAGGAGAGACATAAACAAGAAAACAAAGAAGTAAAATAATCTTCCAGCAAATTCTATGAAGAAAATAGAGCAATGATTTGAGGAGTGGTGGTAAGAACATTATAGAAAACCTGTCTGAAGTAAGAGCTGCATGACAAGTAGTGAGTCATGCTAACATCTGAAGGAGGAATGTTCCAGAAAGAAGGAACATCAAGTTTAAAAACCTCAACCAAGATAGCCTTAACATTCTCCCCAGCTTTATTAAATATTTGACAAGTTTCTTCCTGACTCTAGCCCCCTGAATCCCTTTTTAAAAATTATTTGCTTTAGAAAATTTGTCATTATAAATTCTTCCTCTCCCCCTTTAAATTATATGTAAAATTTTTAAAAGGCTCTTGTATTTTAACCCCAGAAATGTCTCTCTCAAGGACCTAAAAACCATCTCTTTGACATGAAACCATCAAAGGTCATAGCCCCTCTACCTCTCTCAGTTTCTGTGCAAAGGTGAAAGGTTAACTTTGATGGGCACCTTACTCCAAGTTGTAAAACCACCTCCTGTCATGAAAACATGAGTTTAGTTTTCTTTGGGAAGAGCCAGTGATGCAATTTCTCATGTTTATTGGAAAAATAATAGTGAGTAAGTCTGGATATAAAGTCATGAGTGAGGACAAGAGTATGACATGAGGTCAGAGAGGGACAGCCAGGTCAGGTAGGGCTATGTAGACTATATAAGGAGTCTGGAACAAGTGGGAAATGGTCAGATAATATTAGGTAGGAAAATAATCAGCTCTTTCACTTTAAGTGCTGTGTGGGGAATGGATTGTAGTGGAGCATGAGTGACAAGTTGATGAAATAAGCTAGATATGACTACTTGGGTTCAAACTACAGCTTTATTATTTATTAAATGTGTGACCTTGGCAAGTGACCTAACCTACCTTTGCTTCAGTTTCCTCATTTGTAGAATGGGAAACTAATATATAAAAACACACAGGGTTGCCATCAAGTTAAATGGATTAATATATAAAAAGTTAAGAATATGAATTATTTAAAAATAAACATAGAAAGCTAAATAGCACAAGTTCTATTTTTAAGGAGAGGTAGATTCCAAAGCATATTAACATTTCTATGTATGCTTATAATAATTATTTTTCCTATCTATTGCAGGTTAAGTGTTTGGATAAACATCTTCACTGCCATAAAATAGATGGAGAACTGGAGTTTTAGAGGGGCAGAAAGGTCATGTAAAAGTCACATGCGCACCTTGCAGAGATATTTGGGACTGCTGCTGCAAACTGCAAAGCCCCGATTTCAGTGCATTGGTACCATGTGGGAATGGGGGCTCCGTGTTGTCACATCTTTTGAATTTTTAGCATTCTGAAAGTCCTTTTTTTATATGAAATATCCTAACTTTTACATTTAATCCACACTCTAAGCTAGATTTGGCCCATTGGCTACCAGTTGGCCACTCCTGGATCAGACATTCTGTACGTGACTCTCTTATGTTACTTATTCTTTCTTTATTCATCTCCTGATTCTTTCTTACCTCATCTCCTGATTTTAGATTTGCTTTTCTTTACTTTGTGCTTTAAAATAAAAAATAAAGGCATTTAACTTTTATGTGAAACTCACAATCAACTGAATTTCTTGATTCTGGTTTAATAATTTCTCAATACACCTTGAACATCTTTTTTTTTCCCACATTTAATGCTAGTGGTTTTGAAGCCCCAAATTGAAATTTCTTTCAACCTTTCAATCGTATACCAAGCAAAGATATTATGTTGAGTGTGATATATGAAAGTGAAGGACAGAAGTTTCTTCTCTGTGCCTCTCAGGATATTTTATATACCTTACTTGGACAACATGAGATTTGACATAGTGTCTTCTCAGTTTGGATCCATGAAATGTTTCATTTATCTGTTAAAAAGTAAAATGCATGATGATTACATTTTTATTTTTTTATTTTAAGTTTTCATAGTGGAGAACTTGAAACATACATGAAAGCAGAAAGAATAGTGTAACAAACCCTTGTACTCATCATTTAGTTTACCAGGTATCATGAAATGGTCAATCCGGTTTCATTTTATTACTACTTACATCCCAGGAATTAAATAATTCCTTAATATCATCAAATACATAGTATTAAAATTTCCCCAGATCATGACTCATTTAGGAAAAAGACGTGATGTGTTAAGTATGTGCCTTTTTGAAAATTACCTTTATACTGACTCAGTTCATTTACAAGTGTTTTTAAATAAAAAAAATTGTGTGGCACAGTGAGATAAAAATATTTGTTTATAAAAGCAGCATATATATCAGAATATTCATTTTGAAGAAGTAGATTCAAAAGACCAACTAATAGACTTTCTCTTCCATGTTCAGCCTTTTATTGAACATTGGTGATATAAAACTTGACAGAAATGTTCCCAAAAGGATTTTTTTCTTTACTGTAGCATCCTCCTTTCATGTCTGGACTGCAAGCTATTTTGACTTCTATTGTAATTATATGCTGCTGACAGGTTCAAAGTGGGATATGTAGGTGTTTCTCAAGGAAATTTTATTAAAAAATCATTTTCTCAACTGCTCTTGATCTCAGCCTAATGGGTGAGTTCCCGCTGTGGGACCATCACAGAGCACCAGACATCAAATTGCAATGCCTGGGACTTTTACTTTGGCAAAAACTGACTTATATTGGAATTGTAAAGATTTAATCTTTATTTTTCCTCCTGCTCCAAAGCGATTGGAATGTATTCATTGATTCAATAAATGTTTATTGAAATAAAACTATGAACTAATTAGATAGATCCATTCTTTTTTAGAGATTCAAAACAGGAAACATGATAAGCAGATCAAAGAATAAATAGGTAAATATGATAATCTGAGATAGTGTTTGGTGATATAAAAATGTAAGATAAAGTAATATAGTCATTCAGGGGACAGAATTTGAATGATCAAATCAGGCCTCTGAAAAGTGACATCTGAGTGAGACCTGAGTGAGGAAAACAGGAGAGGAGTATTCTAGATGGGAGGAACAGCAGGCCTCAGATAAGAATGAAACTGGTATAACTGAGGGATAGAAACAAAGTGTTGTAACTCAAGTAAAGTGAGCAAGGGAGAGAGTGTATAAGTTGAGGTTGTTCATGTAGGTACTTTGTTGAGAACTTTGAGAACAAAAAGAACTTTGTTGGCCATGATAAGGGTCTGGATGTTATTCTTAAATACAGTGAATGGAACAATTCTAACTAGATAATAGTTAAACTGTGCTATATTTCTCTTTCATTCCCAGTTCCAATATATCTGCCTCTCCTGGAGTTGAATGGGTTTGGATTTAATGGAAGTCTTGGAAGCAGGGACGAGGAACTTTCTCTTCCATTGGTCAGGAAGAACCTAGAGAATGACCTGAGAGCCCTGTACAAAGATGGAATCACAACAGGCCCTCGGGAGACCTTGGCCAACAGAGGTTTGTGGATGCCCGGGGATCAAGTTGACACTGGACCATGTGAGTGGGTTTCTAAGTGCCAATATGGCCAAGAAGGAACTGCAAAGGGGGTCAAAGACTCCTCACTCCTGAGGCTAAACTAGTATGGTGGGCAGAAAATGGGGAGCTGGAAGACTTCCACCTTGGAAGCTTGGTAAGGAGAATGACTGCTGCCCAACCTTCAGCCTATCAGATTTAAGAACATCTTACCTCCCAGCTTATAGCCAACAAAACAGTGGCCCCAATATACCACCAGGAGAAAATGACAATAAAGGAGACCAGCAGCCAGAGAAAGGAGTACAACAGATTAGGTGCTTATCAAAACAGAACAGGAGGAAACACATAGCAACTTAAACAATGGAAAAAAGCACACATGAGAGCACTCAGGTGGAGAAAAAAAAGAAGAAGAAGACTATGTGGTATTAAGTAAATACAATTTTCAAGTTAAAAATTTATTAATCAATTTAAAAAGATGATTATTATTCTTGAGATCCAAATTTGTGGTCTAAAAGGCCAAGTAAATAACCACAAATTAGTAAAATTTAAAAAAGAAAATAATGAGTGAAAAACAAAACATGTAGAGCATGATTTCTGATGTGGCTATAAATAATAGGAATGTAAAAAAAGAGATGGATGACATATAATAATGATAAATAGAGGTTCTGACAAATAAAGATGAAAACCTATAGATTCAAAGGGGTATACTGACTTTCAGACATGTCTGATATATCTGGGTAATATTCTTGAACTTCAGATACAAAGAAAAATTTCTACAAACTTCTATATACAAAAAATATATTTATAAAAAAATAAATTTCATTTGTAACATTTGAAGTTGGAAGCTGGTGAAATAATATCCTCATACTCTGAGATAAGAAATTTACGACTCAACCATCCTATTCCCAGTCAAGATTTAATTATAAGTCAGAGGAAAAGAGATATTTTGTGGATATGCAAGGATTTAGTAATACATCATTCACATATCACAAATGAGAAAAACACATGAGTATAGACACTAGTCAAGTAAGGTATATGAGGTCTGTCCTGAAAAAGTCCAGCCACTGTTAATATAACAGTTTGGGTGACATCAATGTAATCTGGCAGCCAAGGAGAGTGGACTCAAATGCATATGTGTGAACAATGACAATTTCACTGTATCAGTCAGTGTGGGCTGTCGATGCTGCTGAGTCAGCATATGTACTGTGTGGCCATCACATTCAAAACAACTGAACGACTAGAGCAACAAATGTGCATCACATTTTGCATTAAGCTTGAACATTCCTCCATAGAAACTATTTGGATGATTCAGAAGGCTTTTGGGAATGATGTAATAAGTGCAGTACAAATAAAAATGTGGCACAAATGCTTCAAAGATGGTCAAGAATCTGTTAAAAGGGATACATGTTCTGGAAGGCCTGCCACAAGCAGAACACCTCAGAATGTTTAACGTGTCTGGGCTGCAATCAACCAAGATCTGGGACTAACAGTCTGAGAACTAGAAACTGATCTGGGGATTCCAAAAACTACTGTGCCTGAGATTTTTATGCGGGATCTTGGCATAAAACCTGTCATGGTAAAATTTGTTCTACAGCTTCTACTACCAGAGCAGAACAAACATTGTGCTGTAGTCGGGAGAATGCTGTGAGGTACCAAGGTGCCTCCTTTGAAGGGGACTAAGGTGTCATTGTCCTATGTACAATGTTTCTTGCATCTTCTTCAATAAGTGTCTCTATTTTTCATATTACATGGATGGATACTTCCTGGACAGGCCTCATAAATCTGAATTGAGATTGAAGTAGAGGAGAAGATTAAGAAGAGGGGGAGCATATGGAGAGCAGTAAAACTTGGGATGTGTGTATATGTTTTTAATATAATGAATGTACAATTTCAATGCTTAATGTGAAAGCAACATACTTTAAGAAATATCCTAGTAATAGTTTAGAACTTGAAGTACTATCTCAGCAAAACATAGTTATTAGGAAGAAAAAAAGGGGGTAGAGAAGGGAGGGGAAATAAAAGTGTTAAAAGGTCTTATGAGGAGAGGGGAGTAGAAAAGGGAGGAGAAGACAGAAAGTATGTTAAAGGCCCCCTTTTTTTGGATTGAGGGTTAGGTAAGAAAAATAACATTTCATTGGGACTAATAGCTTTTGAAATAATAGCAGGAAAATATTTATGTAATTTTGAGTTCCAGGATAAATGAGTTAAATGTTAATGAAGTGTACTGAAATTTTCAAGAGGAAAAAAATAGAACGGAAAACAATTTAAATCAGCAATAATAAGAAAAAGAAAACACAAAAACTTACTTAAAGCAAACCAGAGAAATAAAATCAAGTTAATACTTGTTATAATTAAAGCAAATATACTAATTTGTTTTCATGAAAGACTCTATCAAGTTGCATTAAACAAATAAAAAAACTTACTTATCCATTATTTAAAAGTATCATACTTGTAAATAAAGGAATGAAAGACTTCAAAATGAAGGTATGGGAAAGAAATACTATACAATTAATGTGGAACCCAGTATACAATAGAATCCAAAACATAGATCCTAGAATATATGAGGATTTAGGATGTAACAAGGATAGCATTTTAAATCATTGGGATAGGCCGGATTGTTTAATAAGTACTGCCACCTCAATTGGCTATCTATACCTAAAATAAAATAAATTTGGGCCCCTACTTTTTACTAAAACTATTTCCATGTATATTAAAACTTAAAAGTAGGGGAAAAATAACCCTCCAGGAAACTGAATACACTTTTTTTTATGGGTGTGGAAAACATTTGAATCAAGACAGAAACTGACTTTCTGAAAGGGTTGAGTATCCTAATTTAGAAATAGTGTGAATTTACAAGTTATTAAATTCTAACTTGGACAGTGATTGCTAGGATTCTGGCACTTCTAAGGAGAATAGTGTTTAAAAAGACAATTCATAGGAAAACATTTTAACTTACCAAAGACACTGTCTTTTTATTTAGGTCCATATATTCTTGTGAGTATGGTTTTTCAAACTTTTTGTCATAGTCAATGTTATTGACTTTAAAGCTGATGTGATAATAGAAATGCGTCTTCCCTGAGGAGAGAAAAGAAAAAAAATAGTTCTTACTTTGGTCATTGTGTAACTACTTTTATTTTTAAGAAAATCATGTGAAATACAATACTCTGATAAAATTTCAGGTTTTTAGCATTTAAGCAAACTTGATTTCTATTCTCTGTTTAAATAACTTTGACAGAGGAAAGTTTATTAAATTATAACTTCACCCAAGAATGTCATCAGAATTTTTAATATAATATTTCAATGTGCTAGCTTTCAAGTTTGGGAAATCTGGAGACAGATTAGTTATTATGAGATAAAATTATATTAAAATATAAATTATTATCTTAATTTTTGTGATCATCACAGATAACACTTAGGAAAATCAGGGGAGTCACAGATTTAATTATTTGTGAAGTATGTAGGAAATGAAAATGTATACAGAAAAAAGTAAAATAAGGTATGATTTGTAAGTACTGCAAATTAAGTAAACAGAACAAAGAAATCAAATCTACAGCATTCAGAAAGTAAAGCAAAGGATAAAGTTGAAGGTAGGCTGGACTGTATTATTTTATTTATTTTTTAAAAAGCTGTTGTAAAAAATTTATTGCAAAATGATAGAGGAATTTTTTCTTTTTACTAAATTTATTAGGGTGAAATTGGTTAGTAAGATTATATAGGTTTCAAGTGTATATTTCTATGATGCATAGTCATCATAGCGTACTATGCATTGTCTGCATTGTGAAGTCTGCATTGTGTACTCACCATCCAGAGTCAAATCATCTTCTAGCACCATATATTTTATCCCCTTTACTCTTAATTACCCCCACCCCCATCCCTCTGGCAACCACCATACTGCTGTCTGTGTTTATGAGTTTTTATTTGTTTTTCTTGTTTGTTCATTTGTTGCTTTCAGTTTTATATCCCACATATGAGTGAAATCACATAGGTTCTTAACTTTTTCTGGTTGATTTATTTCACTTAGCATGATATTCTCAAGGTCCCTTTATGCTGTTATAAATAATAGTATTTCATCTTTTCTTATGGCTGAGTAGTATTCCATTGTATATATGTAATATATCTTCTTTCTTCAACTTATCTACCAAAGGACACTTAAGTTGTTTCCAAGTCTTGGCCACCATGAACATCGTTGCAATGAACATAGGAGTGCATATTCTTTGAGAATAAGTGTTTTCAAATTTTTCAGGTAGATACCCAGAAGAGGGGTTGCTGGGTCAAATGGTAACTGTATTCTTAATTTTTTGAGGAACCTCCATACTGTTTTTCATAGTGGCTATACCAGTTTGCATTCCCACCAGCAGTGAATAAGCGTTGCCTTTTCTCTACAACCTCTCCAACACTTGTTATTACTTGTCTTGTTGATGATAGCCTTTCTATCAAGTCTGAGGTGGTATCTCACTGTAGTTTTGATTTGCATTTTCCTAATAGCTAATGCAGTTGAGCATCTTTTCATATATCTGTTGGCCATTTGTAATTCTTCTTGGGAAAAATGTTTGTTCAAATCCTCTGCCCATTTTTTAATTGGAGCATTTGTTTGTTTGGTGTTGACTTGTATGAGTTCTTTATATATTTTGGATATTAAACCCTTGTTGGAGCTGTTGTTTGCTAATATCTTCTCCCATTTGGCTGGTTGCCTTTTTGTTTTGTGGATGATTCCTTTTGCTGTGCAGGAGCTTTTTAGTTTCATACAGTCCCATTCACTTATTTTTGCCTTTAGTTCTCTTTCCTTTGGGGTCAAATTCATAAAATGTTTCCTACAACCAAGGTCCATAAGTTTAGTACCTATGTTTTCTTGTATGTGGCTTATTGTTTCAGGTCTTATATAGGTCTTTCATCCATTTTGAATTAATTTTTATGTATGGGGACAAACAGCAGTCTAGTTTCATTCTTCTTCATGTGGCTTTCTGGTTTTCCCAGCACCATATTGAAGAGGCTTTCTTTTCTCCATTGTATTTTCTTGGCTCCTCTGTCAAAAATTGTTTGCCCATATATATGTGGGTTTACTTCTTAGTTCTCAGTTCTCAGTTCTCATGGTCCGTGTGTCTGTTTTTCCACCAAATCATGCTGTCTTGATTATCATTAATTTATAGTATAATTTGAAGTCAGGAAGTGTGAAAACTCTGGCTTTGTTCTTTGTTTTTCTGGATTGCTTTGGCTATTTGTACTGTACTATTTTAATACATCAAATATAGTAGAAATTAAAGTTTTTGGTAACTTTTCTCAGGTCCCATTATACCCCTCTACTTCATAGACTAGGTGCAGGAGAGACAGAGGGAGAGAGAAAGGAGAGGAGGAGGGGAGGAGCAAGGAGAGGGTAAGGAGGAGAAAGAAAGAAAAGGGACAGAAGATAGAAAAAGATGGAAGAATAAAAGCATTTTGTAATATTCTGAGAAAATTCTTCATGTCTGAGAAAATTATTTGAAGAAATTCTCTCCTGCACATTTACAAATAATGTAAAAAGTGGCCTGGCTGGCATAGCTCAGTGGATTGAGCGTGGGCTGCGAACCAAAGTATTGCAGGTTCGATTCCCAGCCAGGGTACATGCCTGGGTTGCAGGCCATAACCCCCAGCAACTGCACATTGATGTTTTTCTCTCTCTCTCTCTCCCTCCCTTCCCTCTCTAAAAATAAATAAATGAGATCTTTAAAAAAATAAAAAAGTGGAAAGTAAAATAATACAGCATTATTTTTTTGTATTAAATTGTCAAAGATGACAAAAACAATAATACCCTGGCTGGGTTAGCTATTCATAAACAAAATAGACTTTAAGCTAAAAAACAGTAACAAAGAAAAAATGGATAAATTCTGAGAAACATACAACTTTCAAAGACTTAATCATGAATAAGTAGAAAATCTGAACAGACCAATGATGCATAAGAAGATTGAATTAGTAATCAAAAACCTCACAACACAGAAAAGCCAAGGACCACATGGGTTCACTGGTGAATTCTACAAAGTGTTTAAAGAAGATTTAATGTCAATCCATCTCAAAACTATCTAAAAACAGAAGAGGAGGGAACACTTCCAAACTCATTTTATAAGGCCAGCATTATCCTAATACTAAAGCCAGATAAAGAAACTACAAGAAAACTACAAATATTCCTTATGAATATAGGTACAAAAATCCTCCACAAAATACTAGCAAACTGAATTTAACAATACATTAAAGGGATTATACACATTGATCAAGTTGAATTTATTCCCAGAATGTAAGGTTGGTTCAATACATACAAGTCAATAGATGTGATATATCATTCAGTAAGTGTGGTATACCAAATTAATAGAATAAAAAAAATCATATGATCATCTCAATAGATATAGAAAAAAACATTTGACAAAATACATTCTTTCACATTGTAAAAATGCTAAACCCTATTGGGTCTAGAAAGAACACACTTCAACATACCTAAGGCCACATATAACAAACCTATAGCTAACATCATCAGTGGTGAAAGGTTGGGAGCTTTTTCTCTAAGGTCAGGATTAAGACACGAATGCCTATTTCACAACTTATATTTAACATGGTACCTAGTCTGAACAATCAGGAAAGAGAAAGAAATAAAAGGCATCCAAATTGGAAAGAAGAAATAAAATGGATTATATAATCTTATGACAGAAAATCCTATAGACTCTACAAAAACCTTAAGACTAATTGAGTTCAGTAAAGTTGCAGGATAAAAAATCAACAAACAGAAAGCAGTTGTATTTTTATACATTAACAAGGAAACATCTGAAATAATATAGAGTTATATGGTGGTAATCATTTTGTAATATAAAAGGTATCAAATGAGCTCATATGTATTCAACTTACATAATGTTGTATGTCGATGATATCTCAGTGAAGCTGGGAAAAGAAAATTTTCAAGGAACATTTTCTTGTTACATATTTTTATGCATGTATTATATGCTGTCTTATATTTCTATTAGAATATCAAGCTTGAAAATCTAGAGTATTGAAGCAGTATTAGGTTATAGTAACTTGTTGGACTACTAAATAAATTTTAAACACTGAAGAGGAAAGTCAATTTCTAGCTGTTATCCTTAGAGCACTGAGCCCTTAATCAGCAGGTATAGTGGTAAACGTGGGAGTGAAAGGTGCTGCTGCTTTTGGAGGAACTAGAAGACTATCATAATAAAGGATTATCTTTTTGTAGGGGAAATGGAGTCAGTCAGGCCCCCTCACTGGGCCTGATAAGCAGTATTCCCATAACCTTGAGTGGGCCCACATGCACAGCATCACACTTTGTTATAGAATATCTTGGCACCTGGCCAACTTTTGTGCACTTAGTACATGAGGGAGTTGGTACTCCTTACCAGTGCAACACACGGCTTGCAGCAATGTGGACCCATTTCCAGGGCTTCATGCATTTTCTTCTGTCTGCCCGAATCCAGAGTGAACCTTCTTGGCCTTGCAAGGCTACAATACACTCCTCCTCTTCAAATAAAACTTAGATTCTGAGCAGAGAAAAATACTTATGACCTAGGATCTCTTTTAAGTGTTATTTTCATTTTTTTAAATTTTCTTTCTGGAAAAGTCATATTTTCAAATCCAGGTCACATTCTGGGCTAAGGTTATAACTCCAGGGAGGACTAGATCCTGACTAATTCTCCTCTTTGTATTTTAATATTTTTTTGATTTCCAAGTGATTTTTAAATATTGATATATAATTGACATACAACATTATATTAGTTTCAGGTATACAACATTATATTACTTTCAGGTATACAACATAATGGTTTGGTATATGTATATATTGTAAAGCGATCACCACAGTAAATCTAGTTAACATCCATCAAAGTGATATTTATGCATACTACAGTATAAGAAGAAAGACTTATTTTGATAAATGGCTCTCAGCCAAGGCTTCCAGATTAGGATCACATGTGGAGTTTTAAGAGCTTTCATCATCTGTGCCCTCTCCCACAGAGTCTGTCTATTGGTCTGGGTCAGAACATCAATGTTATTTTAATCAAATGCTCCAGGTGATTCTAAGGTGAGGCCAGAGTTCAGTATGATGA